GGAAAAATGAGTTTTTGAAAAAAAATGGAGGTCAAATTTGGGCAAAATTGGTCCAAGGCTGGATGAATGTCCATTTAAGAGACTCGAGAAATTCAATGTCCCTATTCTTAAATTAGTTGAAGTCATGCCTTCTTTTTCAAACTAACGTTGGTATGAACCTAATGATCAAAATGAAATTTAGCCCTTATTTAATTTAGCTAAAAATAAATTCTTTAGTAAATTTTGATAAAAGTTGATAAAATGTGTAATTAAAAAGTTGATAAAGTTGTAAATCCCATAAAATCTATGGTTGAAAGTAAATTTAAAAAAAAAAAATTAATTATAGGAAAATGAGGGCCAAACAAGGACTTAATTGTCAAATGTCCCCATTGATGAATCCTTATATTCTTGCTAATTACAAGTCACTATACAAAAATTAGTACAAAAGGCCGAACTGGTGTTAATAGTCAATATCCTTTCTTTCAATGTAAGTATTAGAATTGATTTTCGGAGAATGCTATATGTACAAAATTTTTCACCTAATCCCTTATTGACTACTCACAATAAGGAGGTGGGGACCACATTTTGAGATTTTTTTTATTCAGTTGGGTCCCGTGTGCATGTGAAAGAGTGTAAGTAATTTAGTACACTTTTGGTTTGGAAAAACATCCCCGAAGGCCAAACAAGAAGTCTTATTCTTGGATTTAAGAATCAACATTCACATTAAAACCCCGTTTGATTCCCATTTTTATCAAAATATATTTTTCTCTCTCTTCTTTTTAACAACACATTTTTCATTAAAATAATATTACATATAAATAAAAAAACCTTTCTTTATTTTTTATCTACACATTCTCCATCATTCTACTATTCTAAAATTCATTTTTCCATAAAAATGGGTGTCAAACACCCTCTAAGAGTATGTTCTATATAATGAACAAATAAACGTGTGGAACAAATAAAACCCTTGCTTGAGTGCCAATTTTGGGCCATAATACATTTTGAAATAATATATTGTAGGATAATGCGCAATTGAAAATGAATTTTAGAAAAATGAGTTTTTGAAAAAATGGAAGTCAAATTTGGGTAAAAATGGTCCAAGGCTGGATGAATGTCAATTTAAGGGACTTGAGAAATTCAATGTCCCTATTTTTAAATTAGTTGAAGTCATGTCTTCTTTTTCACACTAACGTTGATAAGAACCTAATGATCAAAATGAAATTCAGCCCTTATTTAGGAAAAGGGGGGCCAAACAGGGACTTAATTGTCAAATGTCCCCATTGATGAATCCTTATATTCTTGCTAATTACGAGTCACTATACAAAAATTAGTACAAAATGCCGAACTGGTGCCAATAGTCAATATTCTTTCTTTCAATGTAAGTATTAGAATTGATTTACGGAGGATGCTATATGTACCAAAATTTTTACCTAATCCCTCATTAACTACTCACAATAGGGGGTGGGGACCACATTTTGAGATTATTTATTCACGCAGGTCCCGCGTGCATATGAGAGTGTATAAGTAATTTAGTACACTTTTGGTTTGGAAACATCCCCTAAGGCCAAAAAGATGTCTTATTCTTGGATTTAAGAATTGACATTCATATTAAGAGAATGTTCTATATAATGAACAAATAAACCAGTGGAACAAATAAAACCCCTGTTTGAGCGTCAATTTTGGGCCAAAATACATTTTGAAATAGTATATTGTAAGATAACGAGCAATTGAAAATGAATTTTGGAAAAATGAGTTTTTGAGAAAATGGAGATCAAATTTGGGCCAAAATGGTCCAAGGCTGGATGAATGTCCATTTAAGAGACTCGAGAAATTCAATGTCCCTGTTCTTAAATTAGTTGAAGTCATGCCTTCTTTTTCAAACTAATGTTGATATGAAGCTAATGATCAAAATGAATTTTAGCCCTTATTTAGTTTAGCTAAAAATAATTTTTTTAGTAAATTTTGATAAAAGATGATAAAATGTGTAACTAAAAAGTTGTAAATCCCATAAAACCTATAGTTGAAAGTGAATTTGGAAAAAAAAAAATGTAATTATAGGAAAAGGGAGGCCAAACAAGGACTTAACTGTCAAATGTCCCCATTAATGAATCCTTATATTCTTGTTAATTACGATTCACTATACAAAAATTAATACAAAAGGCCGAACTAGTGTCAATAGTCAATATTCTTTCTTTCAATGTAAGTATTAGAATTGATTTTCGGAGGATGCTATATGTACCAAAATTTTCACCGAATTCCTCTTTGGCTACTCACAATAAGGGGTGGGGACCATATTTTGAGATTTTTTTATTCATGCAGGTCCTACGTGCATGTGAGAGAGTGTAAGTAAATCAGTACACTTTTGGTTTGGAAACATCCCCTATGGCCAAAAAAGATGTCTTATTCTTGAATTTAAGAATCGACATTCACATAAGAGTATTTTTTATATAAATGAACAAATAAACGTGTGAAACAAATAAAACCCCTGTTTGAGCGCCAGTTTTGGGCAAAAATACATTTTTAAATAGTATATTGTAGGATAATGCGTAATTGAAAATGAATTTTGGAAAAATGAGATTTTGAAAAAGTGAAGGTCAAATTTGGGCAAAAATGATCCATGGCTGGATGAATGTCCATTTAAGAGACTCGAGAAATTCAATGTCCCTATTCTTAAATTAGTTGAAGTCATGCCTTCTTTTTCACACTAACGTTGATATGAACCTAATGATCAAAATGAAATTTAGCCCTTATTTAGTTTAGCTAAAAATAAATATTTTAGTAAATTTTGATAAAAGTTGTAAATCCCATAAAATTTATGGTTGAAAGTGAATTTGAAAAAATAATAATAATAAATTTTAATTATAGGAAG